CCACCACCCGCGCCGCCTCGGGGACCTGCAGGCTGCAGACTCGGGCCTCGCTCAGTCCCCACGCGGCCCGCCGCGGCCTCTCTGGAGTCGCGCGCCGCACGGGGACACCCGCCGGCCGAACACACGTGCTCTCGCACACACACACCCCCCAACACCGCGAGCGTGAGCTCACGCGCCCACACCCGCGCTCACCTGCCAGGACCGCGAGGGAGAGGCCGCAGGGGGACCCCATCCTTCCCACACACCCCCGGGCAGTCGCCTTGCAAAGGATGCACGCGAGGATTTCTAACCCCCCGGTTGACCGGACCGGACCCGACGGCCAGCTCGGCGCCCGTGGCGGCTCCGCGGTGCCCAGCCCCGAGCAAGGCCCTCGGGAAACCTCTGTGAAATAAGAGGCTGCAAGGTGCATGAGAGAGAGAGGACCATCTGGAACCGCCGGGGGTGAGGGGTGTCTAACGTAACACCCTCGCGCAGGTTTGGGGCAAAGTCTTACTACAGTCATTGCTGCACCGAAACCACAGTAAGTGCTCCGAACACGTTAGCCTATGCACACGCATCCTCTCTCCGGGAGGTAAGCCGTTCGTCCAGCTCTAGGCTCCCCAGCGACGCACAGTCCTCCCTTTGACTTAAATGTCATGGCTTCGTAAGGCAGGAACGCACCCGTCCCCGCGGTCCCTGGGCCGGTGCTTGTACACAGAAGGATCAAATGGGCTTTGGCCCCCTTCTCACTTCCTCCTCAGTTTATGGCCCTGCCCCCCCTCCCAGCCACAATAGCCCCCAGTGTTCCTTACTTTCTATTTGGTTAGTCCCAGGAGTTGCTACTGGAAACCAGTGGGGCCTTTGATTCGGAAGATGAATGCAAATAGGAAGCAGGTACTGTAGCTGCACCAGCCATTTTACTCTGCCTTAATCTACACAAGACCAGAGACAAATTACAATGCGGTAATGGATACAATGCTGCAACTGTTATGGAGAATTCTGAGCTTGTAAAAAGCCTCGATTTAGGCACTTATTAAAGAAATTAGTGTACTTTATTCTTGATACCTGTGTTGCGGGACCACTCTTTGGTGGAAGTTCCAGTCTGTGCTGCTAGCACTTTAAGTGACAGCCCATCTCCCCTATTCTGAACACCTTGTGTCTTGCTAAAATTGTCAAGCCAAGCTCTACATTTAGAAAATGCAATCCCTGGGCTGGGAAGGTGGTTCAGTGGTAGAGCACTTGCCTTGCATGCACTTGCCTTGCATGCATGAGGCCCTGGGTTCGAATCCTCAGCACCACATAAGCAAAAAGAAAAAAGCCGGAAGTGGCGCTGTGGCTCAAGTGGTTGAGCGCTAGCCTTGAGCTGAAGAGCTGAGGGACAGCGCCCAGGCCCAGAGTTCAGGCCCCACAACTGGACCCCCCCCCAAAAAAAAAGAAAGAAAAGAAAAAGAAAATGCAATCCCTGGAGATATCAGTCCACCAATTTCATAGTGATTGCCCTCTACTAGCCTGAAAGTGCTATACAAATCAAGTTTTTTTAAAAATTGTGGAATTGTGTTTATAAGTTTATAGCCTTTCATCCAGGTGCCTTCCATTGCTTTAGAATAATCATTCAGCCTGTCACATCTCAGGTAGGCAGTTTATTGAGCTTCATAAAGCAGAAATTACAGAGGTCCCCAGGACTAATAAATAGAAGCTGCCTGAGATACCCAGGCCTTTTCCAGAGTGCTCCCCTGTTGTAAGAGTTTTACTATTGCTTTAGTCAAGCAAACAGAAGAACAAAAGACAAAGCAGGCAGAATGTATACAGCACTAGATTCTGATTGGATTCATTGATTCTTGGATAGATTTTATATGTTATTCGATTTATTTTGTTTAAAATGGAGGAAGGTTCACCTCAGCTCCTCTTTTTTAAAGGGGAAAGAAAATGGCTTCGCCTTAAGTTGTCTGCACTTGAATAAGCAGGAAATAGCCATATGCTTTCTTACCTTGGAACTTGATAGGAGCTGCTGTAAATGCTGACGATCAAAACAACGCGAAGAGAAAATTACTGTGGTAATGAAAGAGTTACAGCTATAACATTGCTGCCAGTCCAGTTTGGTGAGAGCTCTGCTAGAAACAGGCAACGAAATGGAACTAAAAAGAAAAGCCAGAGAAAAAAAGTACAGGGGTGGGTTTGGAGAGAGGGCCACATATCAAATAAAAGAGAGCAGTTACGTGTCTAAGAAGTACTTCCTGGAGACACCTAAACCACCCAAATCAGGAAAAACCAGGAGCTCAACCTGCCATAAAACACCTAAGATAAACTGAACGCATTGCAGAAGCCATCAATTTGGGTGTAAAAGGAACTAACCTAGGTCGCTAGAAGGAAAGGAATAGGTTGTTTATGACCAGGGAATGGCACAGCACACAGGATTCTAAAGTTTATCTTCCTTTACAGATGCAGCAGACCTGGAGGAGGAAGACAGTGCAAAATTCAAAATATTGAATATTGATGGGGTTTCTGGTTCTGAAGAGTTTGTAGCAGCTCTAAAAGATCAGTTCCTGAATTCCTTGCAGCACTGATCATTGCTGATAAATCTCAAATAAATTCTTGATGCCAACCTTCAGATAATTGATGGCCCCTTGCCCATGTAATTGTAACCCCTCTGTACGGTATTTTAACAACAAAAAAAAAAAGACTGATGGCCTATGCAAATCCAGACACAGGATTTCTGATAACAGATTTCATAAATGAAGCCAGAGTCCAAACAACATGGATAACTGACACTGATTATTTAAGGGCAAAGACATCTTTCATATATTCATTCATTCACAGTGTATCTTCCTACTAAATATTTACTGAGCATTTAAGAGATTTACTTTATCCAATTTTTTTAAAAGATACTCAAAAGCATCATTCAGTAATGAACTGTCTAAATTAGAGAAGTGTGAAAGAA